AGTATGTTGGTGGTATGGCCATTGATGAGGATTCCTGTTTTACTTTTGGCGCGACGCTAGGTTGCTTGAAGATCTGAAGTTTGTTTTAATGGATGTCGATATTCACGCTGTTTATGTTAAGCTATAGAGCTTCTCGTCCGTACGCACACTTTGTACGCTCTATCACGAATGTGTCTGCTGTTGTCGTTACGTTATGCTCTGATTGAAAGCGTTTTCGATTTTCAAGCTATGTGGTAGTTTTCTTGTGCAGCAGTATATAAGAAATTGTTAGCCACTGTTTTTGGTGAAGCTTTAATTTGGGGTTTATTGGTATCTACATCAGTATCGACATCATTCTGGATATTCGATCTAATCGTTGAGGTTAAAGATTATGTAGGTGATGTTGAGTGGGAAACGATAATCGTACCAGATTTTGTAGATGTCTTACCATCAGAACGATTATTTAGTTACGATTTATTTATTTGAATTGCTGATATGTACATGCAAAAACTTTTTTAATACAGTGGTATGTTTAAAAGCTCTCGGCGTGAAATTTTATGGAATGAATGGCGAAAAAAATATCGTATTGTGTAATCTTACATAACAGCATGGTTAAATTAGTTTTATCAGCGACAGTACTATTGGTGAGTTTCATTATTGTCTAGCTTTATTGACACTCTTTTTAGAATAGAAGTATAATTTTTTTAAGTATGTACACATACACTATGAAGAATATTTTTTCTTTACAATATTTTAATGAAACAAGAGTCCGTTGAAGATTCGCGTAGATCGTCGATCAATACTATTGTCGTCTTCTTCGTCTTCACTTTGAAGTTGTTTTTCAAATTCATCAATACATGTAATATTTCGAAGCTTCTCCCACAAAACCTGTTGAGTTGTTGATAAACGCTTGGATATATTGTCACTAGGTAAATGTGAATTGGTAGATGTTCTTGAATCATCTGAATATAAAGGTGATTGATTTGGTATAATTGTTTGTGACGCCAAAATTGGAGTAGAAGAGTTCGAATCACTATCGTCTTCAACGTCTTCTAATTCATATAATTGTTCTTGATGAGCATCGCTATCATCCTAGTAAAAAAGAATACCTTAGATGCAGATACGTTCGGTAGTTAGTAAAATAAATATAACTTACAGATTCACTGTAGTAGGTATTTTGAGTTCCTGTTTGTGTGAACAATTCTTCATCATTTTTTTCTTCAGTTGTATTTTCCTAAATGTATATTATTGTAAGATTTATTTTTGATGCAGATGGTTTGTTGATATAGAAATAGAGATGCATAGCATTATTTAATAAAAAGATGTTAAAGAAGGTGAAAAATTGATAGAATAAGCTCTAAAATTCAATCTATGTCACGAAATTGAAGAATTAATTATTACTCTGATGAAAATAAAATACACATACGATTATCAGTGCACACCGATAACAATAGATGAGAAGAAAAGAATTTGACTAATTGATCAGGTATGTATTCACTTCTTCTAATAAAAGGAGTCGCGCAATAAAGTCAATAAAAGCAATGTCTTCAGTTGTCAAATTGTATAATATTTTTAATTATTTAATATTCGTACTATTGATTTATACGTCTCAAGTTTTGTAAGCTATTTCAAGAAATAAAAAATAGATACTACTCTATGAAAATTTGTAAATGTTATTAACAATGCCTGATTAAACCTTACACTTAAGCATGTTTATTGGTTAAAATATAATTCATATTTCAATTTATGATCGTTCATATTTTCAGTACTATAGCACAATGCTGAACTACCATTACGCTTGTTTTCATCTGCTTTTATGTGATTACAGGACTATATCAAAATACTTTTTTATTGATTAATTTGATCTCATCTATATGCAACTACAAAGTAATATTAATTTTTTTTGTCAAATTTAGACTAACTACAAAAAGGTGCACGCATCAAGAAAAATAAATAAAATAAATTACACATAAAATCTATAAATTTAAGATATGCTCGACATAAAAGTGTCCTTTTTCAATTAAAATATTTAAAGGCAAATGGACAAATTAGCTAAAGAAATTCGACACAATTAGTTTGTAAATGATAAATAGGGAAAATAATCAAATAACCAAGCAGATTTAGTTAGAGTTGTGCTTCCACATCCTCTCAGGACATATCACTGAAATTGATTAAACTAAAGTTACGTCAGGAATAATACTGAATTATCATTTAAGTTTCTAATGTTAATTTGATTAACATTGGGGTAGCAAAATATTTTATAGGTTGTATAGAATTAATTTCATCTGCACAGTGATGTATCTAGGAATTTTTGGATTAGTCGGTAATTGATCGCCCCTGAATACGTTACTGTATCTACAACTTTAGAACAATAATTTGATAACTTTGTAATTATATATATAATTAAAAAGTAAATCATTTATTGCTAGTTATTAATATGAATTTTTATTAGAAATGATTGAGTCAATTATCAGTATCGTGTTTTAAATCTTTTTGTATACAATATTCTAGACTTAGATCTAGTTAAAAATCGAACTATATCATTTGAATAAATTTTCTGTAAAAAACGTTTAATATTAACACATACTATATCCTCGATTTGAGAGGCATGATCTTCCAATCCATTGTCTTTGTCTGGCTGATTGTAGATGGATGATTCATTTTCATTTAATAAAATCGAAGATAATTCCGTTGATATCTTTAAAAAGAAATATTATCGTGATATATTTAAAATGAATAAATAATTAATAGCTACCGAACCAGTCGCACAGTCGGTTGATATAGAAGATTTGGCAATAACCACATGCTGTTCATTGAAAGCATCCTGAAAGCAAAACAAATATATTTTAATGTTAGTTGTAAGTAGAGACATACATTCGATGTATATGGTTTAGGATTTCTTTTTGAACGCTCTTTCGCAGTACACTTTTGTTGTCGTGCTTGTTTAGACATCTTATAGCTATATTAATCTAGAACAAAAATTTTTTTTTTGTAAATTAGTTTTAACTATACAAATGCACATCTATTCAGACAATATACCACATAATACAAAAAAATAAATGAGATTAACACTAACATTCATATGTAAAATAAGAACAAAATACGTTTACATTAATTATTCTAAACATTAGAGTATTAACCTATCATAAGCAATATACAGATACGCCAAGAAGACAAAAGTTCTTTGAATAGAAAATTAAAGGCATTCGTTTAAAATAATTATAAAAATATATTACTCACGTTTATAAGTAGATACTTTTGATTAAGATGTAGACATGTTCAAAATAAATTTTTATTCTAAAATTGAGAAATGAAATATTTATAATAAGAAAGATAGTTATTATTTACTGGAAGTAAACGACGTCCAATATCTTTATGATAAGGATTAAGACCAACATGACGACAATTCCAATAATGAAACATCAGATGAATAATTAATTGACAACGTTCAGAGCGCATACATGAGAAAGATTTAGCAAACTTGTTAAACCAAGAAAATGTTTGTTCACATGCACCGGTATTGATTCCAGTAAGATCTGGATTACGATCAGGATTTAAATTCTCTTTGCACCATGCACTTCTATGATTGGGATAGTGCAAACGATCAATGGAAAATTTGCAATTGTTAAAAAGGAAAGTTGTAGCAGGATTTCGATGAATATTTGTTCCATAATGATCAATGATTGCTTTTAAAAGATGACAACCGTCATCATAAACAATATTACGAGGAACAAAGCAAATAGCTGCATTATTTTCGTCTACACCTGTTTGGCTAAATCGAACTAATTGGCAAAGACCATTAATTATCTCTTTTATACTTTCACTTCTGACAAGTTCGGTTGAAGAAACAATTATATTACAATTAAGAGTCCACGTAACTACACCTAATGTTCGAAATGTTTTCGAAATGTAAGCACCTGGTTTACTTTTTCTTGTTTTACATGAAAGTGAATCATAGTACATTTTTTTCCCATTTCTTAATTGATTATATTGTTCATGGAACGATTCACTAGAGTAAAATGTTGTACATGAATTACTTTCTACTTCTTCTTCCATATCTTGATGTTCTTCACAGTAAATATCACGATATTGTGGAGAATTTCGACAGCCAACATTCATTGAGTTGAACTCAGGTGTTTGGACAACCTACAAATGCATCCAAAAACATTAAAAAAAATTCTTTGAAAGAATATTGGTCTTATTTTTCTTCAGACTACATATTAATATAACAATTCGAATTTTATTTTTTCTTGAAAGAATAAAAGTCTATATATCAAACTCTTCTCTTTCACAATAAATGAGAATAATTATTTTTTTAAAGTTCTTATATCAAACTCATGAGTACTACATTCAATTGTTTATTCTATCATAGAACATTGCTAGTTAAACCTTCTACATTATGACCGTATCACAACAATTGCGATGCTTACAGTTTTCGATGAAAATTATTCTTTCTTAATACGACTTCTTAACATTGAAAATTACCTTCGGGTTAAACACACATATTGGTCGACGAATATTATAATTACCATCACCAATCAATGCACACGAACAGTGTGTACCACAGGATTTGATTACCTTATGTTGTAACCAAAAGTTAGCCATTAGATGATGTACATACGGCTCGATTAGTTCAAAAAACATATCCATTTGTTGTTCGCTACATCTTTTTGGAAGAGCTACTTCGGGTAATCCCATGAAAAACATAAAGTTTATTAGTCCAAAGCATAGTGTAATTCGTGTAAAAAGAATAAAGTCTAATTCGAAATTATCATTATACTTTTGTATATGTTGAAGATTGTAGGATTTAAGGAAACCTTGAAACGTAGTACTTTGACATATCCAATCTGCCATGAATTGGATAAATATGTTTCTATCGAAAGTATACTTCCCTCCAAAATATAGGTATTTGGAGTTGTTAAATGATTCGTACGTAAAAATTCGTTCATTGTTGTGTCGGATATAGTTTGGTGTAATTAATGTACTATCACATTTGTTTTGATCTGTTCTAGAATGAGTGCATGTTAGTGTATAAACGACAGCTGGTACAATCCGATGATTGTGTAAATATAATTTTACAAGTTGTTCTGCAGCTAAATTACGATCAAGTTTCTTGTTACAAATTGGACATATATCTGTAAATGGAATAAGTTGGTAAGGCGTGAAAAATGGTAATTTATTTAAAAGTGAATGTTCGACAATTAATTCCTTAGCACTTAGACCTGTTGAAAAACTTGGTAATACATCAGATCTAATAAGCGATATAATAAATTGTAATTTTTCAGCATTAATGTCGATATTTAATTTTTTTTTCAGAAGATTAGAAAGTAATTGAAATTTTCCAGCAGTGTATGGAACTAACACAGCTGATAATTCTTGAATAAGACTTATATGTGAAATAGGTAAAGTTTTGGACATTTCATTTAAATTGTCAATATGTTGTTGAGTGATCGATAAGCAGTCAAATGCGAATTCGCTTGCCATAGCGAACTTTTTCTGTTTGAGACTTGTTAAGAATCTAGAAAACAAAATATAGACATGTAGAATATCTTTGATTTAACAACATAGAAATGTATAATACTCAAAAAAAACAAAGAACAATAATATTTTAAGTTGTAATATTAATGTGTATCAATTTAGTACTCATATTATAGTACCTCACTTTTCACCGAGAAATGAATAGAAAAGAATGTTTTTTAGACAAAACAAGATAAAAAAAAATATACTCAAACAACATAAATATAATAAATAAAATAAGAGAAGAAAGATAAATTTGTACAAGTTGATATTTATGTTTAAATATCATTTTTAAGATTTTAATTTTTAAATTACGACTTTTTATCTATACAAGCTTTGTTTACCATAGTTTGTTTAGTTCGCTTTGCAGTTACATTTTTTGGACGAGGCAGCTGAAAACTAGTGGTAGTTTCAGCTAGTTGAATAGGAACATCACTTACAACACTTGTTGTTGGTAAAATAATCGAAATTGATGCAATAGAAGGTGTTGTAGTAGTAGAATTTGATTGCGGAATATTTAGAACACTTGATGATGAATCTTCAGATGACATCACTAGTTGATCAGAAACATTATCTAATGAAACTTTTGTTAAAGCATCAACATCAAAATTGATGAAAAGTTGATACTGTCGATTCTTCAATATACCAGCTAGTGCAGCACTAATAATGACACCAACAGGAGGCTGCAGACGACATAATGTCCGTTTAAATGATTCCCAGCCAATATTGAATTCGATAAGTAATTGTTGAAATTCTTCTATATGATTTGAATCATATGACTTAGGCACACATTTAAGTAATATATGTAAAGATCGTCCTGTCGTTGATTGTTTTGCTGCTTTTTCAAAATTAATAATAAGATTTTTGTTTGTCAATAATTCAATAGCAGCTTCATGATAATTGGTACTTCGTTTCCATAGTGGAATACAACGACTAAGTGTTGTTTTCGTGAAAGCAATTTCATTATGTAATAAAATTGCTCTCGCCAAATCATAAATTGATTTTTCATGTGGTGTTAATTCTTCATATGCAGCTAATATTGTCGCTGTTGTACTTTCTTCAGTTGAACTACAAATGGTGGGTTCAATTGTTTGAAGTCCACCAGCATCTCTAAAAAATAATAGAACAGTTAATTTAATATAGAGATTTTTGTTTACTATCGACATATATTAAACAATAAAAACATTATACTGATCTTGTTCGCTATAGAAATTATAAAACGCTGTTTCTGCGGAACTGGATCAATTTACAAGATATTTAATTAACATTTTATGATTATTTAATAGCTTTACTCCTTACTACTATGACGGTTCAATAATCCCAACAGAAACGTTTATATATAAAAAGAATTAAAAATTCGAGGTTTATAAATACGATTTTATTTTTATCTTCTTTTTATTCATCTATAGTTGATTAACCGTTATTATATCTAACTCAATACAAATGAAGTGCTAATCAAACATTTAGCTTTCTCATAAGAACTAAACAATCGATATTGTCGGTCGGTAAATATCTTATTAAACTTTTAGCTTTATTCTCTAACTTTTACTAAACTCTTGATCGTTTGATCTTCTAACTCTAAATAAACGTTAAAACATCTTTATTATCGAATATTAGTAAGAATTAATACAACATACTCACAGAATAATATTTTTTCCACAAAATATACATATATATTGATGTAATAAAATGTTCAGCATTCTCACTGCTGAATTTGCAACTGACAAACGAATTTCAAGTTTAACTGTGATTTTTTCATTTTCTCTACCAAGAAAGTTTTTTACTATTTGTTTCATTCGTTGTTTAAAAATAGATAAACCAGATTCTTCTTTCAAACTTCCATATTCAGATTTATATTGATCAATTAAATCAAATGTTAAATGGATTAATTGTAAATTTACAGCAATTCGATGAATATGTTCACGAGATTTTCCCAAGCGAGCAGTTAACCATTTGTCGATTTTTTCATTTTTTATCACTATAAAAATGAAGAAAAACAATCAGTTACAATTTACATATAAGCATAATTTAGAATTAGTTTTAGCATTATCAAAAGCAGCTCAAAAAGTAAATGTAGTTTTGAATAATCATAATAAAAATAAATTTTCAAAAACGGTTCAGTTATAACATATTCTTTTCATAGAAAGCAATTGCAAGACATTTATAGAAAAAATGTTTATCTTTCTCACTACTATCGTTTTGTGAAAAAATGCTAATTATAATTCGTTCTCATGTAATTCAATTTTTTTGACTAGTCTAGATCTATTGTGCTATATATAATTGAAGGATAATATTAACTAATAATAGTTTTTTAATTTAGAATGCTTCATGATCAATGCTGTTAAAAAGTATTAAGTATTTGAATAGTTCAAATGTTTTGAGCTTCTACTTTTAACTAGAAGCTAGAAAACTGCTGTTAAATTAACTTACTTAATTTACTTAATAGGTTACCATAACTGATTGTCATCAAACGAGCAGTTGTACCATAATAAAAATGTAAATTTTTCAAAAAACTACATGTGACAGCAATCTGTTCGATGGTGGGTTCAGTTTCATAATTCCATACGGGTGGAAATGGCTGTTCGAGAGTCAGTGGTGTAGATACAAACAGAAATAATGAACGTTCAGCAAATGGATTGGAAACATCGCCACTACTTTTTCTTTTTAATAATCGTAAAATCGGTTCTTCTGTTGTATTAGCTAATATATTTAGCTTCTGTAAGAAAAGACTTTTTCTCGAATTTGTCAGACTTTTGGTGACGGTTGTCTTGCCAGAATATAATGTAAGAATTAACTCATACACATTGTTGTGTTCGCTTATGGAGGCATCAGGAATAAGACCATTTCTTTTCAAACAACCATCTGCCTCATCTAATAATAGAATTTTATTATTCTCACTTAGTTCAGTTAATAATCCACCACGTGACATCTATGAAGAGTTTAAAGCAATATTAATAAAAAACAAATTGACAAAGACACTATTTGATTTTATAGATTGTTATTAATAATTTTTGAAATTGTTTAAGTCGATCTATTTTAGAAATTTATTTTATAAAGAAAAAATAGCTAAGTGAAACATTCTAATTATGTACTTTATTAGAATATGAAATATTCTAAATATTTTATTCATTGAAATATATTTCAGACTATTGTAAGATATTCTATTGTCGAACATACTGAAATACACATAAATATGAAGCACCAGATAGGATTTCTAAAAACATTCTTTTACAAACATATAGTCATTTCGAGATTCAAAACTGTCAGAAATAGTTCTTTTTATCATCACAAATTCTTTAGCTCATAATAAATATAATTTACTTCATTAATTAAATGTCTTGTATCAATGGTATCGGTTGACGAACTTTGATCATCAAATGAAGTATCATAATGTGTTTCATCAGATAGTGAACATTTACCAATAGCGTTCAAAAACAAACGATAAAATGCACTTTTACCAAATGCTATTGGAAAACAAATTTCATAAATATTAGTTAAAAAAATATTATAATATACATACCAGAACCACACACTAAGAAACTATAAAGATTATTTGGAATCTGCTCACGGTTGTTTTTAAAGACATATATCTTCGACGAAACGTGGCCAGTCATTGTGAGTAAGTATAGCGTCATCGCCGCTTCATCCAAGAGTTGAACGTCCATTTGATGGTTTAACCATCTGATTATTCTTTTGTTAAAAATTTTCTTTGGATCAAATGAAAAGCTTTTTTTTATGATTGACAAGCTTTTATCAAGTCCAATATTCAGTTTTGCATGACTATTTGAAGAAGATAACGATGTAGAAGGATATGAAGAATCATTGTTTGCCATTGGTAAATTATCTAAAAAAAATTAATCAATTACTTAAAAAAAATGAATTCTAAAATGATATAAAATTTTCGTAATGAATATATAGTGAATATATTTGACCAAAACTCTATTCAGATATAAATTTTCCAGGTTTGTTACATAGTCATATCTTTCTCTCTCATATGTATCTTGCTTCTCTTTTATACATCGGATACTTATGTTCCTGTGTGACCTTTCGGACCTCGATCCATTGTTATTCTTTCTTTATAAGCTTAATAAAGAGAAGAAACGTCTCGACGAATTCTTCCCTTTACCATTTCAGCGATATATACACGTTTTTCGTCTGAATAAAGCAACCAATTTTGTTCATCTTCTACCTCATCTCCTTACATTACTTGACTAGGCTGAATATCAGCTGAAACTAGAAAAATTTCTTTTGTAAACTATCCTTCTCCTTTCACAAAGATACCGAGACAGGCATGATTAAATATTTTACTACTTCTCTACAATGATAAATTTCACTGGTTATTTTTAGTCAAATGCTATTGAGATTGAATATTTTCCAGATAATATATACCTATAGGTAAAATATATTTTAATGAACCATTATTATTAATTATAAAGGAGCAAAATCATATGAGATGGGATATTAATAGTTATCAAACTATAATTTATATTTGAGAATAGAATTAGGTTCATCGTATCAGTTCAAAAATATCTAAATAGCCTATTGCATTATTCTACAAAATACTGTATTATTTTATTACGCCTCACTTTTTAAATATTTCCAAAATATGAATAGACATAATAGTTCTACATAGTAACGATTTTTTACACAATATATTGCTAATTCAGAAGCGACCAAAATTCCAAATGAATGTAGAAAAGGATGCTGCTAGTTAGGTAAAATAATTTAAAAAATTTATCAGACATTATTTGAACAATAATATAGTGTTATCATTACGAAAGTAAAGTGCATAAAAATTGTATAGCTACAACTGTCTAGACATCTAGAGAAATTAGTTGTATGATTGAGACTAAAGTTAAATTTCAGACGTATTCCATTGAAATTTAAAATAAGTACATATTTTTTATTTACCGTTTATTTTGTTTGCACGGGCAATATTTTTAAGACATTGAAATTCATTTTTCGCTGCTGATTTTTTAGCAAATTGATCTTCATTTGGATCTAAAGGAATGAATATATGGAAAATAAATTAAAAAAATCATTTTCTAACAAACCAGCACTGGTTGGTACTTCCATAAGCCATACTTTTGATTCATCATTTGCTTTTTTATAACCATAACGACGACCCCATTCTTTTTTCTGTTCATCCCAAACGAATTTACTCTTCTTTTGTTTGGCAATACCTTTACTTTGAGCAAATTTTTGCCATTTAGTTAAAATGATTTATACACATCAACATACATACAAACATCAACATGAAAATAAGAAAACTCATTTATGATAATAATAATAACCGGTTTGTTTGATGGTTTATAATCAAGGATAATAAAGCGGATTAAGACGTAAAAGTTGATTGATATCTGTAGATTTTTGCACAAGTTGAGAAACTATTGTTTTCGATACATCAAAATTAGTAAATTCTAAAATGAAAATGAAAATAAATATTGAATTAAGAATATATGTACGAAAAACATACGATTTAATTTTGTTTCCAATTGATGAGCAATATCTTCAGCTAGGTCAACACATTCTTTTTGTGTCAGTTTTGGTTGCTAAAACAGAATAATAAAAAATATTTCTTATTGAATATAAATTAATATTTACTTTTATATGTATATCTTCTTTATAGAAAATCTTTAAATATTCAGCAATTTGATGTTTAGGTTGTGCTAATGCTGTTAATGTTGCTAGAATCGTTCCTGTTAATGGTCCCATTTTACCAAAACAGTTAATAAATGTATCAATATTTGGTGTTAAATAAATATTTTCTTCTTGTTTATTTGAATCATATTGTAATTTAAGATATAATGGATTAATATTTCCTATTGAACGTTGTATATTTAATTGATTATTTGTATACATATTAAAACCAAATATATAGTTTAATGTAGAATAAAAACCTATTGATATAGCAAAAATTTTTCGAAATGAAAAATAGCCAGTTGCATTAGAATATTCGTTTAATGTCCATTGATGTAATAATTGTTTATTAGTAAAATATTCATTTTGTACTACTTGATAAATATTCAATAAATTATCATTATTATCATCTAATAATTCATAATATTTTTTTATTGATAGCATTAGCCGATCACTATATATCTCAATTAAATTTATAGTTAAACGATTATCTTCAATTAAACGTAATGATGGTAAATATGTACATAAATGTGGAAAAAATATTTGTGTATGTCTTTTCAATAATTCTTTT